CTCTCTGTGACAAGGTAATGTGACGATACGATGATTATTTATACAAATTTCAGACTTGAGAATACACTAATTTTGCATGTATCATTGTTCAAACTGGCACAAAAAAATAACTTTGGAGGATAGTAAAACGGCTGAACTTTGAATCATTTATAGAGGTATTGACACACAACTTCCAGAAGAATTTATCATTCACTAGGCACACAGCGAATTCAATATGAATAATTTTAACATTCCATAAGTTTACTGTTTTAACCATGTTGGGTTTGAAATGGGATGGAATAGAAAGGAAAGTGAGCGTGTTCTTTCGGTAGTCCTTTAGAGGAATACTTGCTATTGTAAGGAGAGAGGCAGTGAAAGTTAAGAGAGGTAGTATTTAGGGAGTGCTGGTAGGCTGGATGAACCAGGCCACGACGCTCCTCTCATTATTAGCCTGGTCAAGTTCACCATTCTTTTATGGACTACCTACATATAGTGAAAGCGCAAAGTTAAAGAATATTACACATATCACCATGCAAAACATAACTTTTGAAGATTATTTGAATCCCTTGAATTTGTAGTCATAACAAACAGCATGGATTTAGTTTTACGTCTTTCATGTTAATGAAAATGAAGCCGATCCTATCAAATTATCATTATTCACTTGGTGGGCAATCGGTGAGCATTAATGTATGTGTGTTTTAATAAAAAAAAATAGTGGATATTTCATTGAGATTACTTCATATGACAGATATTTATGCCATACCCAAGATATTCCATGAGGTTTGTTGGCCATACGAAACTCCAGCGGCATTTCCCTACACCGTGGCATAATCTTTGGAAGAAAAGGCATGAAAGACATTCGTTTGCTTTTCATGTAGAACAGATTTGTAATGAAGGCCGGTAGTCCTATTGTAAAGTGCTCCAGTAAAATCTCCACGTGGTTGCATGTAACCAGACAGGTTCTTGAAGTTTGTACAATGCGATCAGCTTCTCCTTCTGTAAATAAAAAATGAAATGAATTGCACACAAAATTGTTATTAGTAGTAGTTGTGTTTGTGGTTGTAGTAGTTGTTGTGGTGGTTGTAGTAGTATGATTACATTTAGTTCTTTCTTCAATATCAGTGGAAACATTACCTGTTTTTTGGATAAGCTTTTACTCGCTGAGTTACAAGCTTCTTCGGACCTTTGTATTTCGTTTCACTGTTTGTAAAGAAAGACGGAATTTTCAAGCTACATCACCAATCAGATGTACCTCTTTGGTGACTTAGTGGAAGTCAAAGTTGTAGTGATTTGCCACTCGCTACCAAGATGTAAATTGGTACCTTGCAATTGCTGGGGTAATAATAATCGTAGGGTCATAAGGATGAGTAGCATTGATACTGATGATTCTTGCGTGAGTAAAATTGTTATTATTATCATTATTATTATTAGTAGTAGTAGTACTTGTAGAAGTATTATTATTATAATCACAGTATCATTATTATTAATATATTAACTACTACTGTAAATATTCACCCTGTTCTAGATCCTAGTCGAATTATCATTATGTCTATCTACGATCCTTTACCCCACTCAGTTGTTAAACGGGTATTTGCTCGGATGCTTTCAGTTTGGGACGATTAGAAATTACATGCCTGTAAAATGGCGACTGGCTAGAAAGCTCTCCATTTAGTTGGAGGGTATGTGGTATTATAACAACTAATTTTTTTTTTTCTTCTTCTTCTGATTTCGACATGTTAATGATCTTTCTGTTTCTTGACCACATTGCTTTACCGTGATTCCAGAAGTACAGTACGACCTGCACTTTTGTCGGATCGATGAGGTTGGCACAATGAGGAATCTTCAATGTGACAGGTTTCTCTGATACAAATTGTAATCCTGACGGAAGACACTGGAAGCCATGGGTAAGAACCATCTCACCGGGTCTCAGAGTGATTGCAGGTGGAATGTCTTTGAGAACATCTAAAGTGATCGTTTCACTAGAACCCTCTGGCAGTGCACCGGGAGGGATGGAAAGAGTGAATCCGTATGACGGGATCTGTAGCTCTCCTCCAGTATGGTCAAAGATGCCTTCACAATGGTATTTGTCTGAGGTTAAAATCATTTGTAACATTATCACAACTGTATCAATTATGATGCAAGGAGATCTTGCCTTAGGTATTATGAATATTCAATGCATTCTGTATTTGAAATACTTTCAAAAAACAATTTTTCTAACTTGAGTCGCAGCAGTGTGATATAATGCCTGGAAGCCCTAGAAAAAGTTTTTTTTGTCCTATGTGATCTCTTTTAGCAACGCTGTTTATATTTACGAGGAACTTCACGTTATGCAACAATAATTATAAATGTAATACTCATTACGCCCCCGAAAATTACCCCCTACGACAATTTCCCCCTGGGAGAATAACCCCATGGGACAATCACCAAATGGACTATATCATCCCAGGATAATAACCCCCTTAAAACAATACTCGATTCGGGACCAAAAAAAACCTGGACAATCAACCCATGATAAGGCCTTGAATAAAAACTTGTTGTATTCCCCTTTTTTTTAAACCGCTTTTTAGATTTTTAAAAATTATTGAATAAAAAATATGTATTTTGTTTGTTTAAATAGGATATATGGTCTAAATGCATAAAATCATATTATTACAAAATTCTCACTCGTGCAAACCATGGATGATTATGAGGTGAAAAATATATCAATGGAATGATGACGTTGAAACACATGTATTAAAGCATTAAAAACTGAGAAATATCAGCCAAAAGAGGGCGGAAAAAATCAAATCTGAAAAATATCGGCCCAAAGAGAGCGACAAAAAAAAAAACTTTTCCGACCGACCGATCCATGTTTTGGCGCCCAAAGGGCAATACAACAAGTTTTTTTTATTTTAGGCCTAATTAACCCATTAAGACGTTTGTTGCAAGAGCCAATTACCTCCAGGACAATTATTATATCCTCTGATTACAAGGATACCTCCTGGATGTTAGAACAATTACCCCTCGGACCATTCATATTGCTCCGGTTGTCTCATTTTCGCACGCTGGTAGCTAGTTCGCCGTCACTACCAAACTAGAATGTTCCACTCTGTTGCAGGGTGTATATGCCATTGGGTATGATGTGTGAACCAGGTGTGCGGAAATGTTGTGTTGGGGAGGGGAAGTGAGAGTGTTCATGTGTGTGGTAATTGTATGTGTGTCAACAATTAAAGACTAAAACATGACAGATGGCTAATCATAAATCTACAATGACGAGTAAACTGTGTACATCACAGTCCACAGATAAAAGTGCCTTGAACGTATATGGCAAACGGCAATCGGCGGATCAGACTACACTTGATAGTGATTTTGTATGTGAGATTGCTTTGCTAAATATAAAATACAAGAACCTATTCCATATCTTTAAATTATCATTGATATCTGATAATTAAACATTTAGTAAAATAAACCTACCAAACTACATAATACAATGAAATATTTGACTGAAAGTAGGGGAGTTTGATGTGGTGCACAATTGCACACCTCTGTAAATAATCAAATAGTCCATGGCGTTCATGAATATTCATGTATTTGCTTACCCCGGCAAAATGCTTGTCTTTACAAAATGGAAAGATTATGGTGGGGGGGGGGGGGGGGGGGTTGGCTGAAATGGACATAATGAACAAATCAGAACTGATCTATGATAATTCATGCTTGTTATCCTTCGTGTGCTTGACCTATAACCTTACAATCGCGTGGCAAATTGAGTCCAAGTTCGACTTGTTGCACATGTGTTATATAGGCAATGGCGAGCCTGCGACCTATTTTGATCAAATTACGGTGGTTGAACCTCCAAAAGTCAATGGGACATGAGGGTTCCAATGGAAGAGCTAGTGATAACGTACGTCGGATAGATGTGCTTTTCGTTTAAACAAAAAATGAATTTTTAACTATTTTCTTTTGGGGGGTAAAAGTCCATAGGCTAACATGTTAGGCTGCCGATAGGGGGCGTTGTCAAACGAGACTAAACGGAGCTATATGGAAAATAGCACAACCATCATGCGCGAGTCCTCTTTCACACACACACACACACACACACACACACACACACGCACACACACACAACCACACCCGCGCACACGCATACACACACACCCACACATCCATACACCGATAATGGCCGCCTGTTGATATCCTTCTGAGTTTTCTTTTTCTTCTTTTTTCTTGTTTTTGTTGAGGGAGGGAGGGGGTGTGCGTGCGGGAAACGAGTGTGCAGTTTTTGTGTGGTATTTGCAGTCGGCAGGGACGCTAATTCCTTTAGGTAAAAACAATTTTAAAACAATATAGAAATTATTATTGTAATGCAAGTTTAAAAATAGAGGGAAAGAACGAGGGATTTCATTGCAAAAGACGTTATGACAGATTAGAAGGTGTAAAGGCTACGAGCCATTAAATCACACGCATGGACCCCCACATTCCTTCAAATACTCTCACGTTATGTCCCTCATTTCTACACATAATATATGTTCAGTGCGTATACAAATGCATGAACATTTTTATATCTGGAGTTACAAATCAAATGAGATAAAAGTACCAAAAAAAGCAGAATACTTTTTATCTTTTCTTTTAACATTACACCCTGCATCCAAAAAAGATATGTATTAAACATATATTGTAAGAAAAAAGAGGATATTTCAACTACATCTGTTCCTCCAAAATGAAATTCAAAGAATAAAAAAGCTCACAACTTATTTTTTATCTTCACCAGAACTCAACCCGCTTCTCTTTCGTGGCTCCAAAAAAAAAAGTCCCCTCTAAGAATTATGGACATTTAGTTTAACAATAAAACTGATCAAAGCGTCTATCATTTCTCTCTAATATGAAATTTGTACTTCTCAATATGAATTTGGCGATTACTTAACATTTTCTTGTTCTGTTCTTGTTTTTACAATGCACCCATGTCAATCAAAATCAAAATGAAAACCTTATTAATCATATATTTTTCATTATTTGTTTATGATAATGTATGTTAAATTATTTATTTAACATAGAGTGTTACCTCGATCAGCTCTGATGATGTTCATGGCAGGAGACCTGAAAATTTATGCAAATGACAACAAAGAAAAGTGATATTAACATATTGTTTCAACCTTCAAGATATACTTGTGCAAGAAAAAGGTATTTGATCAAATATCCACAGATCTTTTACCCATGGAGAGGTCTTACGTTCTGCATTTAAGAATAGTCATTGGTAAAGTAATGAAGGTGTTTCATATATGACTACTTTCTGTTTTCCTTCTAGGAAAGAATACTTCCACCTTTGTACAATAGAATAAACTGTTGGTGCATAAATGAATAATGACCGCATACTTTCATGAACACATATTCAGCGTTCATCTCAATGCTTTAAAAAAAGTATTTTTGAATAGTTTTACAATATCTACAAACTCGTTTATATAATCATCAGGAATACTGACATTTAAGACATGGCCAGGACAAAACGGGACATATGTTATGTATGGGACAATTAGCGTTCTTAAATGCATTTTTGCACACACTTTTGCAAATAAAGACTCAACTATCTAAAGAAAAAAAAAATCAAAGAAAATTCAGCACAACTAATATTTCAACTTGCCAAAAAAATATCTGACTAAAATTTTAAAGAAATTACTGCACTTTTGAGTATTACTCTTTATTCTAGTGTTCATATTGGCTGAATTCAAAGTGAACACTTTTTAATGGATCTGCCGAGGTGAAATTGCCCTTTTTAATCCGCGTTTGATTATAAACCTTGGTACCAACTGTAGATATACCTCGGCTGGAAACCCAAATCCAAATTTAAGAAAGCCAAGTTAATAATTTTCATTTAAAAAAAAAATAATAAACACACTATACCAGTTAAAGTGTATCTGACTAAAGTTTTTTTTTTACAGTATTATCAACCAGTTCCTGGGCACTTTGCAGTGCACACTCCACTCCCTGTGGAGCCTTTTAGCCAGTCACACTGTTGTTTGGTCGTGCGCAAGCTTATCAAATCACATAGGCGTTCACATCCTAGCGGGTACACATTTACTACCTGGATGGAGAAGAGCATTGTAGATTACAAAATGCCTTTGTTAAGGACATACATGCCATGCAGAGGATCTAAAGAACCCACGACCTTTGGCATTTCAAGTCGAGTGTTTAAATCACTTGACTACGACACCGCTTCTATATTTGTTCCAAATTAATATAATACTCCCTCACCTTGAGAATATCATCTGGCGAATGACTTCATCCTTGGCATAGTGGACTGGTAGGTTGCCTTGGTTATCCTTGATGTCCGACTTTGCTTCATGGTCCAAGAGATAGAAGACCAGGGCCTTCCTGGGAGACAATTCATTCTGATAGAACTCTTCTGAGATCTAAAAGAATTATCAATAGAAACGATTGTCTCAACTTTGGGAGGCCTTCGTGTTTTAGAAGATTTATCCACAGATTCATAATTCCGAACATTTTGTTCTGTTTTTCTCATGGTTCGTTTACGTTTACCTGAGACCAAAAGACGTTAAAAGATGGGAGTTGTTGCTACCTTGTTTGGCGTTCAACAATAAGGGATAGAGCAACGTCGATCTGGCGCTGCTCAGTGGCTGCCGGGCTCACGATTAATTGGGCAATAAGAATTTCCGTTTCGGTTTAATAAAATTTGGAGTGGACTATTAGGCTATTATTATTATTATTATTATTATTATTTATAATTCCAAAAGTTAAATAGGTATCATTACTCCAAAGGTTGTTAATCCGCAAAATGGAATAAGGTTCGTTATTCCAAAGGGTCTGTAATTCCAAAAAGTGATACAGAATTGTTGTCATTTTTGCAATTATGAGCTTAATTTTATTTTCAGACTTACAAATCCTCTTTAGTTTTCAGAATTATATGAATCCTATTTCATTTTTCAAGAATAAGACCTCTTTTTTGTAATGTAGTTTTAGAGACTTATTCATTGTTAAATTGCCATGCTCATTCATGTGTGAATGGTATGATTCCAATTGCATAATTGTAGTTAGCAATTTGGTTAGTGTAGTAAATTACTGCACAGCAATTTTCGCTGGAGCAAGTGTCGTACAATCCCAGGAATAGTGTGTTCTTAAGTTCATCATCTTGCCTTTTGGAGTGCTGGCGTTGCTTCAACTTTGCTGTCCTCCCGACCTGAAAGACTTATGGCTTCGTGAAGACAGGTCTGTCCGTCTATGGACTGGATGTTGAGATCGGCGCCATGAGAAACTAATGTCTCAATGATGGAGGTGTAGCCATTTTGCGTGGCTAAATGAACTGCTGTGCAGCCTTTCTGGGGATGTTGCCAAACAACCTGTGTAAAACAACAGCCTCAAGAATTAAGAATCTACAAACAAAAAAGCTCTTTATAAAGCAGTTTCTTTTCTAGTTTTTCATATCTTTATTCACCAAATAGACTTACATACATTCAGATGTTAACATTTAAGCAAATATTATACAGTCAAACATGTTTGTTAAGATCACCCATGGGAAACAGAAAGAGTGGTCACTGTAGACAGGTAGCCTTTCTAGACAGATTCTCAAACATACATTTCTTTCTCGACGGAGAAAAGATTAACGGCCACGATACACAGGTGGCTTTTATAGAGAGGTGGCCACTAAGACAGGTTTGACTTACATGTATATGTACTGGAACAAGAGAGGTTTTGGGAAATCCTTGGGGAATGATTTTAACCTTTTTCGTAATTCAGACAATCTACATACATTCACAAGAAAATTGTAACAGGATTATTACGGCTGAAGACTGGCTAACCCTTTGCAATTTATAGTGGTATGATTGTGATACTTGCAAGAATGTTGATAAACAGTACTATAATTTGTGTTCATATTAAATTATAGGAATACTAAATCAAATACCTTCTTCTCATCTTCTGTTAAAACCTCAGTATCTGCACGGCCATTTGAGGAAGAAGGATGTTCCTGCCCTTCAGCACACCACGTATCTGTACTTGTCCCATGTACTTGGTCTTGTTTTGCAGCCAGTTGCAATGCAGTCTTTCCAGGTTTACTTAGATTTACTTCAGCTCCGTGCTCCAATAGATATCTTGTGACATCGGTATGTCCATTTGCAGCAGACAAATGCAATGCAGATGATCCCTTCTTAGTAACCTTGCTAACATCTGCAAGTTGCTGAAGTAGACACTTCATAACATCGATATGACCGTTCTGAGCAGCAATGTGCAAGGGAGTCCAACCGCCATTGTCTGTCGCATCAACATTGGCTCCGTGGTTGAGCAAGCCTTTTGTGATATCGAGATGACCATTCTGCACGCCGACATGTAAGGCTGTAGAACCTTTCTCCTTGGTGGCTCCGTTGACCTCTGCTCCTTGCCTAAGCAAATGCTCGGTAACGTGACAATGGCCAACAAATGCAGCAACATGCAAAGGCGAGATATCATCAACGTCTCCTTTGGCTACTTCGGCTCCTTGTCCAAGTAGATAATCTACAATACCAAGATTACCCATTTGCGCAGCTATATGAAGAGCAGTCCAGCCAGCATTGTTGCTTTCCTTCACTTCAGCTCCTTGACTGACCAGATACCGAACAACTGCTAAACTGTCACTTTCTACAGCATATTGTAATGATGTGCGACTAACTGTTCTGCCTCCTTGACTTGCAAGAATATCTTGAATGTCAAGATCAGACAATATAAGTGGCCTTTGCACAATAACAATTCCACCTTGAACTGTCTTTTCCTCATCGCCATCTTGATATTTGCTTCTACCAAGATCACTTTCTGTAGCACCTCTAAAGACAGTGAGAGAATCAATTAGTCTGCTAACTGCTTGAACTACACGACTATGCACACATCGCACACCATCATAGTGACCATACTGTCCATCGAATTGTAAGATGACGGAGGGCCTCACGCTTCTCATATTCAGTTCAGAGCCTTGGCTGAGCAGATACTTGGTAATGTCGATCTGACGATTACATAAAGCATAATGGAGAGCAGTGGCTCCAATTGCGTTACCAATATCTGCCTCCACTCCATGACTGATTAGGGATTTCACGATATCTAAATGGCCATATGTTGATGCAAAATGCAGGGCAGTCGATCCATAGTCATTTCCCATATTCATATCGGCCCCTTCACTGATCAGATATTCCACGACATCCAACTTCCCTTTCGTCGCAGCATTATGCAAGGCACACCTACCAAAAGAGTTGCTAGAATTCACATCAGCTCCTTGACTTAGCAAATATTTGATCATATCAAGGTGTCCGTTACTTGCTGCAAGTTGTAAGGCTGTCCAACCAAAAGAACCGGCTTTACCCAGCTCGGCTCCTTGACTGACTTGATTTTTCACGTAATCAAGATCGCCTCTCTCTGCAGCGGAATGAAACTCCGTCCAAGGAATTATATTTGATGTGGCCAGCCCAGATTGCTGACGAAGCAAAGCACTTGAAACACGAACATGACCAGCAGCTGCGGCAAGGTATAAGGCTGACCATCCTTTGTCACTAGCCTTATCAACATCAGCTCCTTGACTGATTAATTCTGTGACAACATCAAGATGTCCTTTATTAGCAGCTGAATGTAATGCAGTCCAACCATCATTATCGTCTTTATTCACTTCTGCTCCTTGACTGATCAGGTAGTGGGTGACATCAAGATGACCATTAGATGCAGCTAGTTGTAATAGGGTCGAACCATCATTATCACCTTTATTCACTTCAGCTCCTTGACTGATCAGATATTTGATGACATCAAGATGACCATTCTGTGCAGCTAGTTGTAATGGGGTCCTACCATCATTACCATCTTTGTTCACTTCAGCTTCTTGACTGATGAGATATTTGGTGACATCAAGATGACCATTCTGTGCAGCAACATGTAATGTGGTCCTACCATCATTGCTGCTCTCATTGACTTCAGCTCCTTGACTGATCAGACATTCGGTGACATCAAGATGACCATTAGATGCAGCTGAAAGTAATGGGGTCCAACCCTCCTTATCAACTTTACTCACTTCAGCACATTGACTGATTAGTTCTTTGGTAACATCAATATGACCATTATATGCAGCTAGTTTTAATGCAGTCCAACCATCATTATCATCTTTATTCACTTCAGCTCCTTGACTGATCAGATTTTTGGTGACATCAAGATGACCATTAGATGCAGCAAGATGTAATGGGGTAAAACCCTTATTATCATCTTTATCCACTTCAGCTCCTTGGCTGATCAGATATTTGGTGACATCAAGATGACCATTAGATGCAGCTAGCTGTAATGGAGTCCTACCACCATTATCAACTTTATTCACTTCAGCTCCTTGACTGATCAGATATTCGGTGACATCAAGATGACCATTATAGGCAGCTAGTTGTAATGGGGTCCTTCCTCCATTGCTGCTCTCATTGACTTCAGCTCCTTGACTGATCAGAAATATGCTGACATCAAGATGTCCATTAGATGCAGTTAAATGTAATGGGGTCCAACCATCATTATCATCTTCATTCACTTCAGCTCCTTGACTGATGAGAAATTTGGTGACATCAAGATGACCAGTATTGGCCACTAGATGTAATGGGGTCCAACCCCCTTTATTTTCTTTCTTCACTTCAACTCCTTGACTGATGAGAAATTTGGTCACATCAAGATGACCATATTCTGCAGCTTGATGTAATGGGGTCAAACCCTCAGTTCCGCCATTATTAACCTCGGCTCCTTGACTGATCAGAAATTTGGTAATATCAAGATGACCAAACCCTGCAGCTACACGTAACGGGGTCACACTAAGGTTTCCGCCGTTGTTCACCTCGGCTCCTTGATTGATGATATATTTAGTAACATCAAGATGGCCATTCAGTACAGCTAGCTGTAACGCAGTCCTACCGTCATTATCAACTTTATTCACCTCGGCTCCTCTACCGATCAGTTCTTGGATGAGGTCAAGTTGTCCAATCTGCGCAGCACTGCTTAGTGCACCCTGTAAATCCTCAACACGGCCATCTTGTTCATTTCCCTCCTTACTGTCTCTGTGGATCGGACTTTTGGCGTTGCCTTTACGACTTACACGTAACGGGTTCAAACTAAGATTTCCGCTGTTATTCACCTCGGCTCCTTGACTGATGAGATATTTAGTGACATCAAGTCGACCATCTAAAGCTAGCAGTAGTGCAGTAAAACTGTCATTATCGACTTTATTCACCTCGGCTCCTCTACCGATCAGTTCTTGGATGAGGTCAAGTTGTCCATAATGCTTAGCACTGTTTAGTGCACTCTGCAAATCTTCGACACAGCCATCTTGTTCCTCCTTACTGTCTCTGTGGATCGGACTTTTTGCTTTGCCTTTACGACTGACCCCCTTTTTGAAAATCTTCTTCCACATTCCTAGTGTAACCTAAGGTTCTCTCTCCTTGCTACAAGTTCATGAATTCATCAAAATCTGTTAGTGCTGTGTTTAATTTTGTCCGACAGGCTCTATCTTCTGATTCTCGTGTCAAATTCCTAGTGAAAGTTTGAAGATGACATCAGTGTATCACCAAAACACCTAGAAAAAAGGAACATTTTTCAATTTTCGCAAATTCGGTCAGTGGTGAGGTACATATTTTTGTAATCGAGGGAAAGGTCATATCTTGAAGTATCTCAGTCCAAAAAGGGTACGGCTTTGGCCAGGCACGATTGAAAGATTACTGAACTTTAGAGGGCGCTAATTATATCATACGTGATTATTGGAGCGTGACATTTAGGTTATGTGCATTGATAAAATTAAATACTGTGGAAGTTTGAAACAAAACGGAATGGGTATGAGAAAGTGACGGCAGCTTACGGTTTTTAGGGGTCAATACTTATATAATTTAAAGCGATTTTGGGCAGAGTCCAATTCGGATTTGACTGTTCAAGTCAATGGTCTTTGTCAGGCTGCCAAACATCTCTAAACATATCACCTTTTTGAGTCTTTTGGGAACAATTCAAGAGTCCGATCTTTAACTTTAATCATATGTGTGGTGTTGTATTGCTTTCAATAAAATGTACAATGTAGAATTGTTTATTTTAGATGTGATCAAAAGTCCACAACTAGTTTCCAATTCTAATCTATATTTTGTTCTTGTTCTTTTTGGTTACGTATTCTATATTTTATAAAACACTTTTAATTACCAGTTACAACGTAGACCACTCGACCATGACACCATTTCTACATTTCTTTCAAATGCCCATGTTGATTTAATCCTTCCCTACCTTGATAATATTATCTGGCGAATGATTTCATCCTTGGCATAGTGGACTGGTACGTTGCCTTGTATTGTTAGACAGGTGTTCTTTGTAGACAGGTAGTCACTGGAGCAGGTTTGACTGTAATTAAAGACAGGGCTCTCTTGCAAAGCAGTTTTGATGTGCTGAAGGGACCTCCATGTATATGGAACACATGATATTCATGTATAAACTTTTGAACGAATTAAGATATTTCTAACAACCAGTTTTTCCATCAATCAAAAGTCACATCTCACTCTCTTTTTTTAGTTTATTCGGTTCGTTGGTCTCATTATAATGAATTCATGATCCCCCTTGATACGCAATACTCAATTTGGAAATTCCTTTAAAAAATAAGTACAAGCGCCGTTTACTGTCCGATTATGTTTAAGTTAAACGCAATTTAGTATGTAACCGTCAACTACCTGAAATTGATAGAATATGTTTTATTCTTTGTAATGGATGTATCAACTTGTCAAGCCACATAGGCTTTTACTGATACACCCTATTTCATTTCCCAACACAAATTGTATTTAAATTTAATTACTTTGTTTCACATATTAAGGTCGCTTGTTATAATTATGTACATCGTAAATGTTTACAACCATATTTTTTAAAGTACTGAACTTGAAATAAAATGGATCAATCAATCAATCAATACTGTAACAGTATTCATTGTCACTATTCCATGATAACTATTTCGATCTGTCTTTGACCTTTAAAACCTATACATGACTTTAAATTACAAGATAAACATCAGAAGTGCATCCTACTCCCTTCAAAAGCTGGGAATACACCTATCATGCATCATCATGGTACATTTGACTCAAAAGTTTTATGCAAATCGCCTAACATTGCCCGAATGTTGAAAATTTCTCTAAGGTCATGAGGTCACGAATCATCACCATTACCATCAACATGACCATCAACAACAACAATAAAAGCAAATCTTCCCCTACGAAAACTACCCCCTATGACAACTACCCCCTAGGACGATTACCCCCCGGGACAACTACCCCTGAACAACTACCCCAGATAACTACCCCCTAGGACAACTACCCCCCAGGAAAACTACCCCTACACAGTTAAAATTTTTGTGAACAAGTTGTTTAAAAGTTTAAACAACTCTTGATTAACGGGTGACCTGATCTAAGAGTTGTTTAATATGTTAAGCAACTCGAATTGTTTAAAGTTTAAACACTTAGTTGATCAACATTTTGAACAACTTGTTTAAAATCACAATTTAAACAACCGGTGTTGTTTAAAGACGGTTGTTTAAAACGGAGCTGTTGTTCAGTGGAGGTTGTTTACACCAACTGGGTTGTTTAAAGAAAGTTGTTTAAAAAGGAGCTGTTGTTCAGTGGGGGTTGTTTACACCAACTGGGTTGTTTAAAGAAAGTTGTTTAAAAAGGAGCTGTTGTTCAGTGGGGGTTGTTTACACCAACTGGGTTGTTTAAAGAAAGTTGTTTAAAAAGGAGCTGTTGTTCAGTGGGGGTTGTTTACACCAACTGGGTTGTTTAAAGAAAGTTGTTTAAAATGGAGCTGTTGTTCAGTGGGGGTTGTTTAAACCAACTGGGTTGTTTAAAGAAAGTTGTTTAAAAAGGAGCTGTTGTTCAGTGGGGGTTGTTTACAACAAAAGGGTTGTATAAAGGGGTATAATTTGGGTTTGATACTCTGAATAAGTGCACCACTACTTCTGGGTCTCTATATAGGTATATGAAGACTAGGGTAATTCTGCAATTCATGAATTAGCGCCAAAACAGTGCCCATTTTGCATGAGCGCGCATGCACGCACGTATAAACTGCATATATAGGGATGCATGCAATCTCTATGGCAAGGAATTTAGCACACGTTATAACCGAGTGCGCGATCAGTGCCGCACTGCATGACGCGACGATTTTAAGTCTACCTATATTCTGACATTTGCGTACAGATACCGAAAATTTTAACTGTGAACTTACGCTATAAGTTAAAAACTTCAAATTGGTTAATAGAAAAGTGATTTCAATTAAGCCATTGAATCCCCAGTCACTTAGAAGCGCGTCGGTAGCTTGGTCGGCCATGATGTGTGTTGTGTTGTGGGTTGGAAAGTAATAACTATTAAGCTAAATAAATGTAAGTATAGAGACAAACAAAATGGAGCCTGCAGAAACACGTGTGGTTGCTTTGGTAGTTTAATCCAGACTCAATGTCCATGTGCTTTTACATATGTATCAATCTGTGTAGTCAACAGAAGACCCTTGCATACACTTGCATTGTGTGTATGCATCTAATATGAATAACAATGAGCTGTGCCTTAACAGCTGCACTGCATTTCTAAGTGGCATGTCAATTTCAATTGCATGTTAGTTTCAAGGAACCTGTTTCTAAACATAACAATGTGAAATAAAGCCTTTAGCCAACACGCACTTTACTGGCACGAGACACATGACGTCATATGTAAACAACACTGTCTAAAAGCTCTCGTATAGTAAATATAGCAGTCATTAAATTTTAAACAACGAATGTTTAACAAAATTACTTCTGTTTCGAGCAACATTGTTTACAATTTGATCAACTGTTGTTTAAGATAGTGTACAACTGTAAGTGAACATCACTTTTTTAAACAGCGTTTTTACTGTGTAGGGCAACCACCCTCTAGGACTACCCTAGCAACTACCCCCTACGACAACCATCCTCTAGGATACCTACCCCCTGGACAACTATCTTAGGGGGTAGTTGTCCGGGTGGTAGTTGTCCGGAGGATAGTCGTCATAGAGGGTGGTTGCCCTAGGATGTCCAGGGGGTAGGTGTCCGGATACGGTTTATGGTTTATGATATATAATTAGGATAAGGGTTTCTGTAATATATACATAGATTGTATATAACTCTGTTCCGATGAGCTTATAAAGTGGCTATTGCTTATTGGATCAACCAAATTTAGAGGTAACGAGTCAAAAATGATATATTAATTGTACTCACTGTTTGCCTAGATCCCTGCCTTGATCCTGCTCAATGAATCGTGGAATGAGGCGTCGAGTCCTTTTCTCAGAAATATTTATCCAATTATAGCCGACTTAAAAGGACTCACACGTAAGCTTACACAGTTCAAATAAAAGTAACTGGCAACAAGTGACACGAGGGGTCTCTTCTAGAACGTGTTATGAAGGCGTTAACAATGTCTCTTTCACAAGATAAGAGGAGAGTTTGTCTATGGTTCATGAATCCGGTGTGACAGATGCCAAAATATGAAGTGTGTCGAAGTAAATGATCTAGAAATCAAACTAATGCACATTGCATTTGCAGATGTGCTTCGTTCCATCAGCTTTCCATGTAGAAGTGATGGATAACCGGTATAAATGAAATGCATAGGCTACGTGAGTCTGTAATTCAACTCCTGGTGACGTGGCATTGAGTAGTTACCTAATGCACCGAGTCAGTTGAATCGTGTGGTACAAAAACGAAACCAGAGGAAAATACAAATAACTAGTCGAGGTTATCAACCAAACAAAAGAATACATATCTCTTGCTCAATGAGTCGGTCCTGTGGGCATTGTGACGCAAGTAATATCACGTGACAAAGTGGCCTGGGCATTCTGCTCAACAACTGGAAACCTTAGTCTGTTACCAGACAGAAAAGAAACTACTTGAAATGACGGTGGGGAGGGGGGGGGGGGAGAATCAGGGGCGTAAATCCGTACCGAGGAGTGGGGGGGGGGTGGGATGGTTGGAGCTTAAGAGGAGTTTCGCATTTAAATATGGAATTTACTTAGGATCAGGGTGCAGAATTTCCTTTAGGAACTATACCGTCTCTACCTTCTCTTCTATTCAGGGCCGTAGCCAGAGTTTGATGTTTGGGGGCACATACATGTAATTTTTTTCCTTCTATTTATCCTCTTTCGAGGGACTTTATTTGTTCATATCATAAAATAACAGCTATTTACAACAGTGTTTAAATACAGAATTCATGCAGTTGTAACATATCATACATAGTACAGAACATGAAACTAATGTGACATAATCACTTACTCTCTAAATCTCTACTCAAAACCTATCTTTTCAAATTGTAAATTGCAGTTGTGCGTCGGTCAATGGAGGTGCGCACCATATTTGTCTTTATTTAGTTGATTGCCACTGTTTTTCTTACCTTATCTATG